AACATCTATAAACAAAGGTGTTGATGGCAGCAGCACAGCTGATATTTCTCTCCAGCATGGTGTCACAGGCATACAGGAATAGACCAAATGAAGCTACAATGATGAGAAAAAGCAGAGAGAGCCTAACGTTTAAGATTGAGCTAACAAATCCTGCAGAATAGAGATGATAGAAGCAGAATGATGAAAAGGGGACCCTATGTCCTCCAGCAGTCTAAGTCTATAGCAACATAACTACAGACAAAGCTTAGGATTACCTGATCCGGTGTATAAGCTTTATCGAAAAGGAAAGTTTTTTGCCTTGCCTTAAAAGTAGACAGCGTGTCTGCCCAATGGACTAAAACTGGTAGTTGGTTCCACAGGAGAGGAGCCTAATAACTAAAAGCTCTGCCTCCCATTCTACTTTTGGAAATTCTAGGAACCACTAGTAAAGCTTCAGATTGAGAGCGAACTGCTCAGTTAGGAACATAAGGAGCAATCGTATCAGATGAAGCTTGGCCATTTAAGGCTTTATATGTTAGAAGATTGCATTAACTTTGTTTTAGAAAATAATATATTATTTTAATTTCCTCTCCAATATTTTAGGGGTGTATAAAATTTTATTGCTAAATGAGAAAGTAAATCTCCTTTTTTTTTAAACAAAAACTGTAATCTAGACCTCGATGTACAATAAACCAATGGCAGCTGGATATATTCCTTTAAAAAACCCACTTTAAAGAAGACCTCAATCAAACGTTGGCACATTTTCAGATATTTTCCACATTTATTTCCAAACAGCACAGAAGTGTATGGCATTTTAGCAAGCAGACCACAACCATGGAAAATAAAATGACATAAAATCGCCACTATAGAGCTATATAAATATGATATGACATATAAAAAAGTTACAAAGTCCGCTCGCAGGCCTCCACTGGGCCATTGCGAGGGCTTAAACGTACAAAAAGAAAAGTGTGGGTACAGCAAGCACTGATCCGGTAGTTGCAAAAGAACCGCCTTAGAGAGAAATTTCGTGTTTTCATCGACGTTGAGACGAAACACGTTCTCTCCTTTGCTTTGTTTTCATCATGAACTAACTCTGGGAAGATTTGTTTTCTTTTCAACTTTTACCATTTTTAAGGGTTGAACATTACAAGTACAAATACTACACATATTCACATTATCATAGTAAGTTACTAAAACCAGAACGCTTTCTTAGTGTACTTGTATGTATTTACACAGGAAAAACGTCGTACACTTGCACTACTGACAGGAATCTCTTCTTCTAGCTTCAACAATTAACAACCTCAC